TAACCATAGCTGAGAATGAGGCAAAGAAGATGAAGAAGAACAATGCAAAACAGGCCTACTAATATAACAAATGAGATCAAAAGCTCTATAAAGTACTCGAAAAAGATACTGTCAGAATAATGTAATTACCGAGATAGTTGATAAAACCTGGAAGAAAGGTGGAATCAATAAGTTAACATCAGATCGTTGTTTGTTTGTTTTTTGTTAAGATACAACATAGGATGGATGGGAATTCTGTCGAAATATTTACCAAATTCAGCAGTTGACAATGTTACAGCTCACCTATTGCATCCAACGCATTAATTAACCTTTTTTGTTAGGCCTTGAATTAAATACGTTGGTGTTTCGTAAAATAGAATAAGTATTTGAAAAGTATCATCAATGAAATATTCAATATATCTACAATGAAGATACGCTTACACTGACTAATCGTCACCGTTTTCGTAGCATACCAATGGCTTCCTGGCCAAAGTGGTATATCGTTCTTACGGACACCCATCATGGGCGTTGTCAGGATTCCCGCAGGTAACGCTTGTATTGAAACAATATCAAGCGTATCTTCACATTGCTATCAACAAGCGTGGTTTCTAAAACAATATCCGTGTCGCTTTTAGCAAGTACAAAAACATGTATGTGGTATATGGGCAGCTGAAAGTAAATGACACCACGTGTACTAATATAATTCGTAAAACATTATCACCTGCGACAAATCAGCCTAAAGAGCCTTTCACCACAATATGGAGGTGCTAAAATCAATTTTGTATTTCTGGAAACTTATGCGGGTGTATTGAATCACTGTCCTATCATAAAAGGTGTTTTGAGTCATGTGTTGTATCAAATTGAATCACGTGATTTACCTTATGAAAAGACATGTTACTTTAGATGGACAGATAGAGATAGGGAGACTCAGATATACAGATTCAGACAGAGACACACCAGACCCGGTCCACTCTCTGGGCTTGGCCGTTTGACCAACACCCAGATACAACTTTTGTTCTCCATGCTTCGTTCTTCCCGATGTCACCATCCGAATAATGATCACCAGTTCACACCGCCACCTCTGCCTCACAGTCGAAATTCACTATTGACAAAAAAATGACACCTTTTTCACCGTTTTGATTAGGTCGCGTTGACTTTCATGACGTAACTATGTTTGGAGTTAGCGCCCAAGACATGGATGTTAGTATTCCAAACCTATAAGGGTTTGTTTGAGAACTTGATTACAGAGTCATTGTTTTAAATGTCATGAATTAGTTTTCGTGCATCTGTTGACCGACTTGTGTGGCTGTGTTACTAGTGAATGGCAGTGTTATGTCTGTCATCGTCTAGACTCACGCGGCACCTTCGTCGGAACTGAAATCATTGACTGGAACTATTTCTGACAGTTTGGTATTTGTAATTTATTAATAGCGGACGATTTATCGGGGTTTTTTTATTTCGATTATTATTATTATTATTATTATTTTTTAACCATTACTTTGGTCTTAATGTTTTGTATTATTAGTCTAGTTTTGTTTAGTGTAAATGTAACCATTTTAATTCCTCCTGGGGAATTTTACGGGTTTAATAAAGTATAAGTATAAGTATCAGTAGATATGGCGTGTCCAGTACTTCGTGTGATTGGCTGTATGATTGAAGGTTACGCCTTATAGTCTTTATACTTCCTTGTAATTGGTTAAGATTTGGTACGTAATAAACGGTCTTAGTCCTTGGTCACAGAGAGCACTACACGTGTTTGACAGTCCTGGGCAGAATCTCCGACGAGGCAGTTTGCCTTGAGGCGTTCTCGATGTGGCTAAAGACTAGCTATTGAAACGTATTTCGCTGTGTGTGTCTTATTCGACTGTAAGACTTTTCCGATTTTGTACCTCAAGCAGACGTGTATAGAGACAAGACGATTCTAATCCCCCATGACATCAATATAAATCTCTCACGCGTTCATGTTCACGTCTGTGGACGTGGTGATTGACCCCCATGGATTGTTCAAAGGTCACGGTTAGGTGTTCTTATGTCAATTTGTTTGATTGGTCAATACATGTGAAACTAAGACAAATTGTTTTTTTTCGTGGTACCAAGCGGGTAGATTTATTTTTGTATTTTTCTCATTTTTTGTGTATAGCCAGGTGACAATCCGGACATTAAAATCACATTCACTAGAACCCGCAGTACGAGGCGAACAAGCTTATCACTGTAACTTCGATTTGCCATATAACTTGACAATGTAATGTCAAGATTTGGTAATAATTATGGAGATTGTTAATTTTATACGCATTGCATGGCGTTTATATTTTTCTCACACGTGCCATGTAAAAAATGTGTATGCAAAATCACATCTAATAATGGACAAAAGTTCAACTCTAAAGATTGTTTTATCTCTGTCGATGGACAAACACAAAAACACAGGCACCATGCCGTGGACGAATAACATTGCAGAGGGCAAATGCTTGTTATTTGAAGTGGAAACACTGCTATTATTTTTTAACAAAATCTGAAATAATTGACAAAAGGGATTACATGGTGTCATGTTTTTGTTGATCCTAACCTGTTAGTTTTCTGCACGCTATATTTGACAATTTGACAACTGGATATTGTAAATATAGCAAAACGATTTGACTCTTTTTAGACAAAAATATCGAACGAATTGCTGAAAAATATTGTTCAAGAAATGTGCGCCAGACACTGTGTGATTCTACTATCACATCAGACAAAGTGTAAGTCGAGCTTGAAATTAGAAATAATAGTCCTGTCATGATTTATATTTCCATGTGTTTAGGTTAGGCCGCTTTTAGCAGTCATAGCGACTTTCAATGGTGACCCCTGGATAATCCACACTTGCTCACAATTCGTCATGGTCAGTTTCATTTGCATGTTAGTGAGATTAGTGTTGAAACAACTGGCGGATATAAATCTTAACTATGAAGTGCTGTTCTAATACTTGTGGCGCCGAACTAACGGGTTCATGTAGAAGTTATTCCCGACATAGAGGGCAATTAATCAGACATTATGGCGTGTTAAATACTTTGTGTGATTGTGTGAGTTGAATGTATGGAGGCTACGCCTCAAGCTCAAAAACTCCTCTGTAATTGGCTAACAGTTGAGAAGTGAATAAAGCTGATCTCAGTTAGTTGTGGCAAGCTCACCACGAGACACGCAGTGTTGGCGCGGTCTTGGGAGAGTTACAACGTGGGCCGAAACCAAATGTGACACAATTCGATTCTCTGTGTGTCTTTGTTCGATAAAACGGATGGCGAATCCTCCGATCACTGGTACCTGACTTGAAGGTTTAATAACACTCAAATTAATCTTTCAAAATCCACTCCTAATACCTAATATAATATGAATTTATCCGTGGATGATGGGCACTGTCATATTGCTTGACAATACAAAATTACAGTGTTACTGTGATCCTGCTCTTCCTGCTCTTGGTATGGTTAAATTCAATTATGCTCGAGAAAAAAAATAATATTGTAATATTATCCGGTGTCCGGTTGTCAAATTGTCAAAGTATAGCGTGCAGAAAACCAACACAATGAGATCATAAAAAACATGACACCAAATAATCCCTTTTTTCAAATATTTCAGCTTGTGTTCGAAAATAATGACAGTGTTTCCACTTCATATAACGAACATCTTTTGGAATTACAGTGTCATTTGCTCACAGCATGGTGCCTGTGTTTTTGTGTTTGTCCATCGACAGCATGACCTTTAGAGTTGAACAGTTGTCGTTTTTCGATTTGGTTTTACAGATAAATTGTCAACAATCTCATGTTAGAAAAATATAACAGTATACATTTTAAACGTCATGTAATTTTTATAAAAGTAAAATTACATGAAAGTAGTCAAACATATTTGTTTGAAAAAAATAAACTGCATATGTGTTTGTTTATGTGGATTGTCTTTAAAGACTAAATGAACTGAGCGTTGGTACACTGGTAAGCATGTGCACCTCGTGCCGGGGGGAGGGGTTCTAGTGATTTCGATGTCCGGAAATGTCACCTGGCACAACAAATATTTGACAAAATGAAATAAATAAATCCCCCCCCTTGGTACCAACCACGAAGATAAATTTGTTCTAGTATTACATTATTGACCAATAACAAAATGACATATGAACATATACTCCTGACCTTTAAACAATAATTTATCTGGGTGTCAATCACCCCGTTTCAAGACATGAACGCGTAAGAGATAGAAAATCTGTAAGTATACTTACGATAACTCTGTAATCTAGTTTACAAATATTCACACGCAAAAACCCATTTATCAATTTGGAATAATTAACACAAATTCATTTTTTGGGCACGAATGCGTTCGAAATAAATGTTTCGTTTGTGGTTAGTATTCTACGACAACGTCTTTGCATTTTTAAAACGCAAATACAGATTGTCTGCGTGACGCCAAACATCGTTTACGTGCTGGAGGTCAGCGCGATCTATTTAAAACGTTGAAAAACGTGTTATTTTTTGGTTAGAGAGCCATTGGTATGCGCTACGATGATGGGGACGATTTGTGAGTATAACCGTACCTTCATTGTATAATATATTGAACAGCTATTCCAATAAGTGTTTATTCATGCAATCAAATAGTGCACAAATAATCATGAGACAATTTGAAATAGTATATATATTTATTAATAAGCTGTGAGTTGTGTACCACACTGAAGGAAGCAATAAAAGCAGTGAGAATTTTTTGTATTTCCCTGTCAAAAATAAAACAATGTTACACAATATTAATTTTGGTGTCATTGATGGTGTTTTTAATACTGATTCTATTTTACAAAACAAGAACATTATTTAAATAAGACATTTGCCACATGAACTGTTCTTTAATGTGACAGATGTCGTGTACTTTCGTCATGTGACGTTTATGTGGACATTTTAGTTGTGATTAATATAAACATTTCAGATTTCGTTTTTCATCTCCTGTCACTTATGTGAGCATGCGCATTAAATACGTCACAAATTCAATACCATATACACACCACGCATTCATTCATATCGCTATCATTCGTGTCGTGGAAAAGAGTGTACAGTATAGTTGAATATATCAGACGAGGTTCAGCATGGTGAAAGTCGTGATATTTGTTTCTATATGTGTCATAGTTGCATCACTATGTAGCGGGAAAAGCGTGAAAAAACGAGAGGAGGCAGAAGTTGTCGGAACTGATGTGGATGTAAGATAATGTTTTTTTAACTCTTACTTATGTATACATCAATTTCCGTTACACGATTATTTGTCCAGTGTTCTAACCATATTTACTTTTGCACATAAGCTCTGGTTTTATTTAGAATTCCACAGTTACTTTGTTGAAAACTATTACTGTTTTAGTTTATTGTTTTACAAGAAGGTTGTTTTCTCGTGATCGAAGTGGAAAGTGCAATTTCGTCAGATTTCAAACGTTACTTTTTTAAACCTAGATTGAAGCTAACGTTTCCCATGAATGTCACATTAGATAGTCGTGTCACCATATATACGCAACATCTACAATTAGTTATTTAACGGCTGTACATAAAAATCTAATACATTGTTCATTTTGGAAGGATGAACATAGCTGAGTTCTCCTTTCACTGTCTGTTCGAACACAACTCAATACATACTTTTGTCGGCGATGGTACGGGGGCCGAGAATTGTTGATTGTGAACTACAACAGAAAACAACTATTTGGTAGGAAGCTAAGTTCCAGACTTAGGGGTACCTCGACTAATGAAAGTACGTAGACGGTATGCTTTGGTGCTGGTATCAGAAGACTGTTCACATTGTATGGAGATTTTATGATCAGTTATCGTAAAAATATGTTTTGGTCGGGTATCAGTTTTGTCATGGCTTGCACAGTCGTCTTCGAATGTGTTTTATATTTTGGTCTAGTAATGAGCATGGAAGCTGCGGCCCATTCCTAAATAACGCTATCATTTGACTGCCATCGGACAAGAAAAATATCAGAGAAGTGGGATGCCAGAGTTAGCGAAAGTGAAAACGTAATGTCCAACTAGTTATAATTGTCGGGCAGTGTCAAAATGCTCTTTGCAGAATCGGAATCGTATGTTTATCAACTCATTTTCCATTGCGAGTTTGTAGGCATTTGCAACTAGAACCTTACTAATTAGAACCTTACTAATTAGTAAGGTTCTAGTACATACAGGACCAACCCTGTGCGTTCATTCCGGTATCTAATCCAAATTAGTTATATATTAACAAGTACTAGAGCGTGCGATTTAAGGTGACAGCGGCCTCAGTTCATCTCTACATTGGATGCACCAAGAAATAAAGAGAGCCTGACCTTGCAGCGTCGGGCAGTCATGGTTCGACTCGCATAGTGCGTATCCACGAGAAAGAGAAGGTGTTTTACCCACATGCCGGCCTTGTGGCATTCGAACGGGAAATGCCTCTTTTAGAGGGCTAGTAAAGCTGTCGGTCCCGTGCACCGCTTCTACCCTCAGTACACGTAAAATGCCCAGTTATCACTGTAACAGTTTTCGCATGATAACAGACGCATTTCTTTCAAAACACGTCTCTTGTTTCCAAGTTTGTGTTTATACCCTCTAGCTGTTGACAGGAAATGAGTATATGAGGGGGTTATATAGATCTTCAATCCGATAAATATCAGCTAAAAATAGTCCTTTTTGAGGGGAAACCAAATTCACTGTGATTATTTTAATTTGCGGAGCGGTAGTCCAAATGTGGTGGATACTCCTCGCGTGACTATCTTGACTTCCTGTCCAATCGTTTCGTATTTAACGCATAGTTTGGTAACGAAAACTGTTGTTCTAAACTATGTTTCATTTTAGAGACGGTACTCGCTCCATATTAAAAGCAATCGTGTTTCCTACAGTTTCATGATCGGATTTGAATGTACGCCAATATTCGAGCAATTTCAGTTTTCGAACTGTGAAGTACATCATCGATCAAATAAGTTATAAATGTGATACTCAACCGATGATGGCGCTGTTAGCGATATGTTAAAACGGTCGTTTTCGTTCGCCAGAGATAATTTGTCTGATTGTTCTTATATTAAAAAAAATAATCATTTATCGAATATTGCCATTGACTGCTTCAGTGTTTTTCCTTTGTTATGCTGGGTTTAACGTTAATATGGCCAAAACGCAAAGGGAAACTCGGGGCTCGGACTATCTTTGCCAGGGGATCTGCTTTGTGTAATCGAACCGGAGCCTCGAACGCTTCGTTTCTACTTACATCTTTAGTTGTTGTTGTTTTTTTGACTACAGGAATTGCTTAGTTTTGGAGCTGTAAGTGTGTTAGCGTGAAGAAACAGGCAAAGTGCGACTTTTCTAATTGTTCTAAGAAAATAGTCATACCGTATCCCAAGCTCCCAGACACCTATTTATCCACCCCTCAATAATATATTGTTATTACATGGCTTCACCCGCCCGCCAATCAATCGCAAACTTTAGAATATAAACATCCGGGGATTTTTTACGGTCCAGTCAGCCATGTACGGACCGTCGTCAATAGCAACAGAGAGATCCAATAATCGAAGAAATTCGCGGAACTACAGCTTGATTTAACTTGATTTAAAACGTACTTTTTTACCAATAAGAATTACCTTTAAACATTAAGATATAAACCCCGTATTCTTTACGTTATTAAAGGTATGTAATAACAATATTACAGCCAGAATATGGGCATTAGTGCCCTCCTAACGTCGGGCAAATGATCACCTTGGTCGTGTTTGTATCACCTGATTCGTTCGTTGGTCGTATCTCTGGAGTTAGCAACTTATTTTTCAGGGTATCGATATTTGGTATTTTCTGTTGCTGTAATTAATGGTCTTACTTTTTATTTTGTATTTGAAACTGTCCCACATAATTGAGCTGTTTTCAACCCACTCATCTAGGCACAAATCAAATTGCGTATAAACCAAAAGAAGCGTAGCCGTTGGCAAGAGATGCTGAGTTGTTCGATTTACGAAAACATTTACACAAATGAGCACGCCCATATTTTAAAAACCACGCCCACTATTGAGAAACCACGCCCAAATTGTAACTCAATGTTTAATTAACAGTTAACAGAACTTCGAGTGACGAGCAATATATATTTGTGTTGTTGTTGAACGTCCACATTTAGTAACTCGAACTTTAATAAACAGTTAATTGAACACCGAGTTACTGGCAACATAGATGTGTTGTTTTGTTCAATGTTCAAATTTAATAACTCGAATTTGAATTAACTGTTAACCGAACTTCGAGTTATGGGGAGCATAAAACATTCACTTAGTTTCCCGGATAGAAAGTGTGAGTGGAGGAGTGATCTGAAGGTGCACATGGGAGTATTAATTATCGAAAGTTGCAGCAAACTAATAATGTATAAAGAAAAATGAAATAATGTAGGTTACTTTGAATGAGAGATCTCGACTCCTCCAAATAAATATTTGTGATTTTGGAACTGAGTAGTCATGTACTCTGTCATTGCATTCCCATTACACTTATCTTAGTGTATATGATTAATGCTCGTGGAAACATTTGCCACATTTCATTTTTTACTGAGTAAAAGTACAGACTGAATGCATTTGAAATTTCTTCTCAAGCGATGCTAACATCAGTTATTGCATGTTATTTACACACAGATAACGTTAATTTCTTTAGAGAATGCCGTAGAAAATTACAATATTGGAGGGTCAAGCTCAACCAAAAGACAGATGGATATCGATTTAACTTCAACTGACGGTCAGTTTTATTCACTTTTATTAACTTGACAAAAATGCAGTATGGACGAACGCATATATCTTATAATGGTACTCTTATACAATGATTTATTAAACTACAAAATGATGTGTCTGCATGATTCACAACAGTATTCGTTTAGATAAAAACTAAAACTACTAATACACATGTCTACTGATTGTTTACATGAGTATTAGTAAATTTCACTGTTTCTTAAAAAGAACACCCAGATGTGGGCTACACGTGGGCGTTTTCAGTTCATGGATAAATCATAGTCCAATGCACATATGATTATACAGTATAAAACAAAACTAGTTAAAATTACATATTCTAGCAAATTGGCCATGACGCATTTCTAAAAAAACAAGTCATTGTCAATGACACGTCCCCGTTCCGTTCATATTTGAGTGACATATACATTCAAAGCAGATCATGACCGAAATGCACCTGCATATGTACAACACATTGTGCTAAATCTGAACAAAATCCATCCATGCATGACT